TATTTTTTTATTGAGGTGAAATTCATATAACAAAGAATTAACCATTTAAAAGTGTACAATACAGGCCAAGTGCAGTGGCTCATGCCTGTAATCCCAGCACTTTGGAAGGCCAAGGTGCAAGTATTGCTTGAGGCCTGGAGTTTGAGACCAGCCTGGGCAACAAAGCAAGATGTCATCTCTACAAAAATAAAAAATTTAGTTGGTGTGGTGGCACGTGCCTGTAGTCCCAGCTACTGCAGAGGCTGAGGCAGGAGGATCACTTAAGCCCCGGAGTTCAAGGCTACAATGAGCTGTGATCGCACCACGCAACTCCAGCCTAGGTGACAGAGTGAGATCCTGTCTCAAAAAAAAAAACCAAAATACAGTAATACAATTCAGTGGCGTTTAGTACATTCAAAATGCTGTACAGCTACCTCCTCTATCTAGTCCCAGAACATTTTCACTATCACAAAAGTAAACCCTATATCCATTAAGCTGTTCCTTCCCATTTTCCCCTCCACCTAGCCCCTGGCAAACACCAGTCTCCTTTCTGTCTCTGAATTTATCTGTTCTGGATATTTCATATATAATGGCGTCTTACAATATGTGACCTTTCCTTTTTTCCTTTTCTTTGAGACAGAGTCTCACTCTTGTTGCCCTGGCTACAGTGCCGTGACATCAGCCTAGCTCACAGCAACCTCAAACTCCTGGGCTCAAGCAATCCTACTGCCTCAGCCCGAGTAGCTGGGACTACAGGCATGCGCCACCATGCCCTGCTAATTTTTTCTATATATATTTTTAGTTGTCCAGTTAATTTCTTTCTATTTTTAGTAGAGACGGGGTCTCGCTCTTGCTCAGGCTGGTTTCAAACTCCTGAGCTCAAACAATCTGCCCGCCTCGGCCTCCCAGAGAGCTAGGATTACAGGCGTGAGCCACCGCGCCCGGCCCTTTTTTTATTTTTTGTAGAGACAAGGTCTTACTATTGCCCAGGCTGGTCTCAAACTCCCAGCCTCAAGTGATCCTTCATTCATCCTCAGCTTCCCAAAGTGCTAGCATTATAGGCATGAGACACTGTGCCTGGCCCATACTTAGATTTAAGTGAGTTTTTTTTCGGTTTTCGGGGGTTTTTTTTTGGCTTTTTTTTTTGCTGAAACTTAACATATATGCACATAATAAAATACAGCAAATCAAAAATGAACATCTAGAGGAATTTTCACAGCATGAACACAACCACATTAATAAGAATCCAAATCACGAAATTGAACATTACCGGCAACCCAGAAGTCCCCTGGGCTTCCTTTCAGTCACTAACCTTTTCCCCCCTCCTAAATATTCACTGTTCTGACTTTTTACACCATAAATTAGTTCTTCTTGTTTCTGAACTTTTTATAAATGGAATCAAGCAATACACACTCTTTTGTATCTGGCTTATTTCATTCAACATATTTGTGAGGGTCTTCTGTATTACTGTATATGGCAGTAGTTTGTTCTTTCTCCTTGCTTATAGTATTCCATTTACTGTATATAATCACTGCAATTTACTTACCAATCATTCTGTGGGAATAGAGATTCTGATTATTTCCATTTGGGGGCTATTTTGAATAGTGCTGATACAAACTTTCTTGTATATATTTTTTGGTAATCTTACATGTACTTCCTATTGGGTCTATACCCAGTACCCAGGAGTGGCAGGGTCATAGGGCATATATATATTTACCTTTAGTAAATACTTCCAGGTATTTCAAGGTATAGCTGCACAAATTTATATTCACTAGCAGTATGAGAGCTCTAGTTGCTCCACATCCTCAAGGATAATACTCATCCTTACTAAGTATTGTCAGTCTTAATGTAGTCAATCTGGTGGTATGTAATAGTATTTCCTTGTGGATTAATATGCATTTCCCTGACATCTAAGATTGAACAACTTATCATGTGTTTATTGGCTGCTTGTGATGTGCTCCTCAAGTCTTTTGCCCTTTTTTTTTATTGAGTTGTTTGCCTTTTTTATTATTGGTCCGTATGAGATTTTTATGCTAAATCCTAGATATTTCTCCTTTACAAATATATGTATCACAATTGTCTTTTCCCACTTTGTGATTTGCCTTTTTACTTTTTTTTAAGTTTTATTTTTAATCGACACATAATGATTGTACATACTTGTGAGATATAGTGTGATGCTTTTATACATGTATATAAGATATAATGATCAAATTAGGGCAATCAGCATATCCATCACCTCAAATGTTTACCATTTCTTTGTGAAGAGAACATTCAAAATCCTCTGTTTTGAAATATACAATATGTTACTAACTGTAGTCACCCTACTGTGCAGTGGAACCCTTTTCACTCTTTAATGCTGATTTGGATAAATGGGAGGCCTTAATTTCCCATATTTGACGTGGCCTAGTTTTTCTTTAATGGTTAGTTCTGTATCTAGTGTGGCCTATAGAAATTTTGGAATAGATTATGAAGTTATTATCCTCTATTAGCTTTTAGAAGCTTTGTTGTTTTAATCCACTTAGGTTATGATACCTCATGTTTTGGTTCTTACGTCTTCCACTGTTTTTCTATTTTTCGTGTATTTAGCTTCTCTTTTTTCATGTATTACACAGACAAGTTATGGTTTATTCCCAGTGTGTCTTTTTAGATATAGAGTAAATGAAGAAAATATACTTAATGTGTCTTTCATACGGTTGTTAGGAATCTGTAATGTATTCAACACATACATTTTTATTACCTTGTCTTCTTAGGAGTTGGTTTATACTAAGCTTTTTCTACATGAAAAATTCAAAGCTTAATCTGAATTTGCTATCTTTGTACAGATTTTCAAAACCTGTTATTATAAATACCGGAGGAACAATTTTTTAAATAGCACTTCAACATTTAAACATTTTGGCACATCTGCTTTATCTCTGTCCATACAAACACACACATACTTTTTATTTTGGTCATTTGAAAGAAACTGGCAGGTGTTTCTTTCTCCTACATGAACATATTCTAACACAAAAATAATATTATCATGTGTGTGAATAAAATTATTTTATTTTTCCCTAGATTCTAGAACTGGTCTGGCAGATAAGCATTATCAGGTGCTGAAGATTTAATATTCATTTGTTTATTAAACAACTGCTTTAGAAATACTAAAATACAGGAGGTTGATAGAGTACATTTGAGATTGGGGCAAGTACAATAAGTTAAACTGTCCTTTGAGTAGTAAAGAATTTTTCCTGGTCCTTCAGGGTGCTTCATCCAATCCTCTGTCAAATCCTAGGCCACCTTGGATCACAAAGTATGAAAATAGAGACTTAAGTTTGAGCTAGACAATATAATTATTATTATGTTTGTTTAAGTTGGATTATACATGTATTGAATTTGTGTGTTTGTTAATTACTTATGCATTTAAAACCTATAAGGTTAATGCATATTTTAATGAGGAGGCAGTTACTAAATATACGAGCTGCTACCGTTGCATGGCCTGAGCCTCAGGTTAAGTTAAAACTAAGCTTTGAGGCCAGGCACGGTGGCTCACGCCTGTAATCCTAGCACTCTGAGAGGCCCAGGCGGGCGGATTGTTTGAGCTCAGGAGTTCGAAACCAGCCTGAACAAGAGCAAGACCCCGCCTCTACTAAAAATAGAAAGAAATTAATCGGACAACTAAAAATATATAGAAAAAATTAGCCAGGCATGGTGGCGCATGCCTGTAGTCCCAGCTACTCGGGAGGCTGAGGCAGAAGGATCACTTGAGCCCAGAAGTTTGAGGTTGCTGTGAGCTAGGCTGACGCCACGGCACTCACTCTAGCCCAGGCAAAAGAGTGAGACTCTGTCTCAAAAAAAAAAAAACAAAAAACTAAGCTTTGTTAGAGACTTGAATTCCTAAAACTTAGTTTTCTATAAAAATGAAGTTTGACTCCAGTAAGTTTAAATGTAATTTTATTAAACACTTTGCAGAGTGTCTGGCACATACATGGCACTTAATAAATACGTGCCTTAATTGACTAAAGGGTCTCACCTTTAACATGGTAGGAGAGAGCACTCAATAAGGACTTGGATCTGGTTTCTCGCCCAAGCTGAGACTTTATCTCTTTGGCCACTTGTAAAATAAGAAACATGCAGTAGAGGATATACAATTAGCATTAATATTTTTATTACTGTATATTGTGTTTATTATGTAACCTACCAAGAAAACACTTAATAAATTTTATCTTATCAGGAAATTTAATACATTTTTTAAAAAAACTAAATGGTCACACTGAACAAAAAGACTTCTTTCAGTGACTATGGACTTGAACTTCTTTCTTGCTTGGTAGCTCGAATTACATCTTTGCAAGAGGAGGTGAAACATCTCAAACATAATCTTGAAAGAGTGGAAGGAGAAAGAAAAGATGCTCAAGACATGCTTAATCATTCAGAAAAGGTAAATGATTTAACATGTACTAATTATGAGATAGTATTTACTGAGTTACCTAAGATGACAAGGTGGTTTTATAAAATAGCTTTCATTCTTAATGTTTATGTAGTTACATTTCTAAAAGTTTTTATGTTTGGTCAGTTGATATTTGGAGATATATGTGTGTCTTATTTAGGGTTTGGTTTTGTGTTATTTTTGTTTGTTTTTACCCTAGAGAGCATTAGATGTTTGATGTTAACAGATCATCACAAATTGCTTTGGTTTTGGAAATAACCTTTTCAAAAAGAATTTTTTTCCCCATTTTCTTTGTACATGGGTAAGATGAAGGTGCTGGACCTTACTATAGACATTATGGAAAAGAAAAACAAGGGATCAATATATAGTAGACCATGCATACTTGTTCTGTTTTGTTGGTAAGAGTTTTCAAAATAGAAAAGTGCATAAAGTGACTGGCCTTTGCATTTAGAATTTTCTTAACAATCAAAAATTTCATTGGTTATCCTCTGTTACATCCCTTACTAAGGAAAAGGACTAAACAAATAATATACACATCTAACTCTCACTTTTTCAGTGCCTCCCTGAAATGTCAGCGGTTACGTAAAACCTCAGATAAATTATCAGAAACACCACTACTTATCTTGTCCTTTGGACACGTTTTGTGGCAATGAGAATAGTTTGTGATGGCCTAACTTGTGTAAATGTGGACATAGGATAAAAGAAGGAAGAGTAGAAGAGGTACCCAAACAGAAATGGAATATATTTTGACTTGGTCTCCCTTCCCATCTCAGTGACTTACCATGGGATGCTTTGTGGGTTTGGTTTTTTTTTTTTTTTTTTTTAGTCAAAGTAAATGTGGGTTTAGATGCAAATGTTGATAAAAATAATTTAATATATTTTTAAAGTGCAGCAAAAATAAAATAAACTGAAAAATTGTCCTGTGCATTTCTGAACCTATCGGTGAACTGTCCACCAGTACAACCTTGCTGTGCCATCAGCCGTGGTTAATGATTCAAATGAGAAGGGAAGGGGGTAAAGTAAAGGTGATAGTTTGCTTTTAGTTATATGTGTTGATTATGATTTTAAAAGTAGGACATTTATTTCTCATGGATTATTAGATGTAAGATTTAATAACATGCCTTTTGCATAGCTTATTACATGACTCTCATTCCCATTTCACAGGAAAAGAATAATTTAGAGATAGATTTAAACTACAAACTTAAATCATTACAACAACGATTAGAACAAGAGGTAAATGAACACAAAGTAACCAAAGCTCGTTTAACTGACAAACATCAATCTATTGAAGAGGCAAAGTCTGTTGCAATGTGTGGTAAGTGTTGGTTTCAGTATTTTTTACAAATTGGTTTTAAATAATGACTATAAAAATATATTTTTAATCAAAACTTCATTTTATAGGAATATAGCACATAGAAATTATAATCTAGGAAAAAGGTGCCCTTTTTTTAATGCCTTCTATTGTTTTAAATCACAATTTCACCTTCTAGTTCCCTCACTCTGCTACCCTTTATTCCCTATAAAAGTTTGTAGAATCTGTTTTCTCCCAGTTTTTCAGCCCTTTCCTTGGTTTTTCTCCCTGATCCATTCCAGACCTCACTGTTAATTCATTTGCTTTCTTGCTTTGCACCCTCAATTTCTTCATTCCTTTGTATTTCTACTGTATTACATCTCGAAACACAACCCTAGTTCAGACCAACCAGCCACTTTCTTCACTTCAGATAAATGGGTGCATTATTTTCAACCTCAGTTGGGCTGTCAGTTTTTTTTATATGTCAACAGTTTCTTCTCCCATACTTTTATTTATCTTCTCAAGCTTCCTATGCCATTTCTTTATCTCTCCAGTTTTAGGTGCTCTTCGTATCATTGGGAAAGGCTGGATTTAGAAGATTTTATTTTATAACTCCCTTATTGTAGAAATTTCTACTACACAAATAATTCAAATAATGTGAGAACTTCTATAATTAATAGCTCTGATAGAGTCCCAGGATAAAAACAATAGAGACGTTTGAAACCAATTTACAGCCCATGTAAAGTGAAATATATTAAAATGTTCTTTCTTTAAATGTAACTTTTTGCTTTCACAGAGATGGAAAAAAAGCTGAAGGAAGAGAGAGAAGCTCGAGAGAAGGCTGAAAATAGAGTTGTTCAGATTGAGAAACAATGTTCCATGCTAGATGTTGATCTGAAACAATCTCAGCAGAAGCTAGAGCATTTGACTGAAAATAAAGAAAGGATGGAGGATGAAGTAAGAAAAATAGTACTGAATTTGTTTATCTTTAAAAGAGAAACAATCTTACGTTATGATGAAGAGTTATTTGTAATTTAAACACCATGGAGGAGATTTGAAATAACCCACATGTATCTATGTTCACTACTGTCTGATCATCCTAACACCTAGAATTTTCATCTTCGAATAGTTATTAAACACCCTGTTAGGGTCTATACTATTTTGCAGTATGACAGTACAATTATATTGAAGTGTCATAGTTCCTCCCCTGAAGAAACTGACCATCTCCTTTAAAAAAAACAACTCTTTATTATAAGGTGTCCTATAATCCCAAAGAAAGAGTATTGCTCGTAGATTTTAAAAAGTGTTAAACTGCAATCTTTACTGGCTTAGATTGATAGAAAGCATGGCATACACATTTATAAAACAGTTAATAAAAAGATAAAATGCCATTATATCCTGGTAGTTAGTATATGTATTTTAAAAATTATTTCTAAGATTGAATGTAGAGAAGCCTTCACAAGGAGGGGTAGGACATTACCTAGATTTTAAAGGTTGAGTAAGACCTCAGAAGGTGATAGTTTGAGACTCAGAGCTTATCTTGGTAGAGGGAATATTATCAATAAAGGTATGGGTAACAGTGGGTATTAAGTGGGTAAGAAGATGGGTAAGTAGGGACAAAAAAGAACTTAATCTGACCAGAGAAGAGGAGACATGTTGAGTAGTCAAGGGAGAAACTTGGGGGTCAAAGTATGGATACTTTTTAAAACTTGCATGAGAAGTATGAGCGAAAATATTCTTTTAGGAAAATTAATCTGACAGTGGTATATAGAATGTACTAGAAAGAAGAGAGTTTAGAGATACCTGTTAGAAGCAGCATGCAATTTTCATTGTATATTCAAAATTTGAAAGATAATATTTGGTCATTTTAAAAACATAATTTTTGACCATCTATGATTTGCCTGGCTCTGTGCTAGGAGTTGGGGTTACTGAGGTGAATAAGGTATAGGTATGGTCTTGACTTTATGGGAACTGACAGCCAAGAGAGAAAGATATTAAAATAATAATTACAACCACGACAAATAATCGGAAGTGTATGACTAATCGCATTGGGGAGGAGTTAAGGAAGGCTTTGCTAAGGGTGTGACATTTAAGTTAAGAGCTAAAGAATGAATAGATAAAGAGGTAAAAACAGAAGGAATAGCTTGTGCAAGAACCGTGAAGTGAGGGAGAGTTTATTGCATTTGAGGATCTGAAGAATATTGGATTCTAGAGAATGGACGATGATAGGATTAAAGAGTAGAAAGCAGATCACGAAGGGCATTGTAAACCATTGTAAGAACTTTGAGTTCATTGATCCCAATACCTAAAAAGCATTTGATAAATAATTGTTGAATTGAATTAAATATACATTCAATTTGTTATGTAAGCTTTAGAGGGTTGTAGACTAGAGCACATAAACATTTATGAACGAACAAGTAAATTTAAATACCCCTTTGGAATGTCCCCCAAAAAGTGGCTTTTTTCTTTCCTTTTTTTTTTTTTTTTTTTTTAGAGACAGAATCACCAGGGCTAGAGTGCAGTGGTATGATTATAGCTCATTACAACCTCAAACTCCTAGGCTGGAGCGATCCCCCTGCCCCAGCCTCCCCAGTAGCTGGGACTACAGGTGTGCACCACCAGCTAATTTTTTTCTATTTTTTAGTAGAGACAGAGGTCTGGCATCTTGAGCAGGCTGGTCTCGAACTCTTGACCTCAAGTGATCTTCCTGCCTCGGCCTCCCAGAGTGCTAGGATTATAAGCATAAGCCACTGTGCCTGTCTTTTTTTTTTTTTTGAAATAGAGATGGAGTCTCGCTATGTTGCCCAGGCCTGGAATGCAGTGGCTATTCATAGGCATGATCATAGCTCACTGCAGCTTTGAACTCCTGGCCTCAAGGCATCCTCCCACCTCAGCCTTCTGAGTAGCTGGGACTAACAGGCACAAGCCACTGCACCCAGCTAAAAGTAGCTTTTATGATTACTTCGTATGAACTCCAAAATTTCCATGCTGGTTGGAGTAGAAAGAAACCAGATTTTTTTTTTTTCTAAGTGATCTCATGTCTGAAATTTGATATAATTTGACACAATAGTAAATCTTCAGTAATAAACATATAGAATAATAGATACTCTTTAGAACACTAATGTTTTCTATTAGTATAATGAATTATAATGTACTTGTGATTTGGTGAGTATTCTTTAAAATAATGTCTAATAAATTATTAATGAGATTTAAGATCCCAATTATTTTTCTCATTCATAGGTTAAGAATCTAACCCTGCAATTGGAGCAGGAATCAAATAAGCGACTGTTGTTACAAAGTGAACTGAAGACTCAAGCGTTTGAGGCAGACAATTTAAAGGGTTTAGAAAAGCAGATGAAACAGGAAATAAATACTTTATTGGAAGCAAAGAGGTTATTAGAATTTGAGTTAGCTCAGCTTACAAAGTAAGTCTTGAAAATAACGTTGTGATTTCTTTCTTTTTTGTGTTCGGCAGTGGCTTATGTGTTTGATATTTTATGTGTGTACAGATTTATGTACTTAGAGTTTGTGAAACAAAGATAGGAAAAAGAATTTAGAAATAAAAGAATTTGCTTGCAAGGAAAGTTTGCAAGGGAGTTCGGGCTTTGGAAAGACCAGCTCACTAAATAAAAAATAGAAATATTTAAAGGGATACAAAAAGGAGATTATCAAGGCTGCTGACTTTTTATGTTTTTAAGAGACTAAAATAAGACATGGTGACTCTGTTTTGTTTTGTTTCTTTGGTTCATCTCAGAATGTAAAGTGTGTTTTTTATTTTTCTATTACATTTGAGATGTGATATGCCTGCTTACATGAAATGAATACAAAGCAATGTGTCAGTATTGCTTTCAGAATTTGTACAAGGACATGTTTCAAAAAATTTAATGTAAGAGATGAGTATATCTTGTACCAAGTCATACGTTTTTATTTCCTCCAAATTTGTTTTATGATATCTTCACTTGCCAGCTTCATTTACAACACAGTGATTCTTGGATAAAATTGTTAGTTTTGATTAAGTTGGGTTTATACTGGTGAAATTCTTTTCCCCTTTTAGAGCTACCATTTTCACCAAGTAATGTTTTTTATATTTTTCTTCTCCCACAATAACTTACTCATCATTCAGTGGACATTTGTTATCTACTTCATATCAACCACACATGCCTTTTTTTTCCCACATTCCTTTTTAGTTACTGAAAATACAAAGCTACTACTATCTAATGTGAAAGCCTAGTGGCTGCAGATAAATTATTAATCCCTGAAAGTCTGTGTCTTTGGGTTGCATAGTGTTTCTCTGTCTTTTCGAGTTTGTTCTTCTCTATGTGAGTTGTGTTTACGTGTGTATTAGATACATACAGTTGTCTCTTTATCTACATTCCTCTTCCTTTATCAATTTATTGTTCTTGCTTTCCCCTCTTATTGAAGTATGTTTTTTTAAAACCAAACATTATTTTAGTAAACCTTTTTTTATTTTAGCAACTTTAACAAACTAAGAATAATGTGAAGTCTAGTATAAACATTAACATTTATTTGCTATTTTTCCTTTTATTTGAAGGCAATATAGAGGAAATGAAGGACAGATGCGAGAACTACAAGATCAGCTTGAAGCTGAGCAATATTTCTCGGTAAGTGAGAATCATTTTTAACATATAGACTTTCAAAACCTGACGTAAAACAAAGTATTTAGATCCCTTTATGCCTACTGTGATTCTTTTTCAAACGACTCTGTTCATCTTGTAATAAACATGGTGACTTTCTATTTTTTGTCTGTTTTCTTTCTTAGCTTATTATGAGGCCATCATTTTATATGTTTTTAAATTTAAAAAAAATTTTTGGTATTGAAAAATCTTTGCCTGAATGTATATTAACTTTAACTATTCAAAGTGCATACTAGTAATTTCTGCAGAGTGGTCTGTAGTATCCTATACACTTACTGTCCGTACGCTTCCACAGAGTAATCATTCAGTGTCTCCAGGTGTTTGGATGGATGTCAGATGATTGTGATGGTTCCTATGGATTCTTGATTTGCCTCTAGGAGATAATACTGTATAAAACTTGACCTCTTAGTTGATTGTTGATTGCTTGTGAGGATATGGTTACATAGCGTTTAATTTGATAAGCTGTTAAGAACCAAATGTGAGATTTGTCTTTAATCTGAGTTTTCAGATCAGATTATTTTTCTTTTTATTCTGTCATTGATTACTTACATAAATTTCAGTATTTGAAGTCAAAGAGAAGAGATGAGAACCTGGGTCCTAAAGGCAAAATGGATTATTTAATTTTAGAAATTACAAATACTTAAAACTAGAGCAAGTCTTCACTCTTCCTTCATTTGCATTCCCATAGAATTTATGTATTTTTCCCTTAGAGAAGTGCTGTTTCTTAGAGGAATAATTAAGTGTACAGTATAAAAGTATTTCTCCACAGCTATTTGCTGACGCTTCCTATTTTTTTCCTTCTCATCTTTTAAACTAAAAAGAGTAGTTTAAAAAGACAAAGTATTAGACATCAGAACTGAAAGTTTACAACTTCAGCAGCTAATACAGTATGAGTCTGATCTGTTAAATATTTGTTCACAGAGTTGGCAAAAACTTAGTGAATTTTCTAAGAACCATTGTTCTATAATAAGTATATATTATTGATATGTTAACAGAATATTTGATATATCTTGTATATGTTTCTTCTGTCTCTAAACCATCCACTCCATCCACTTACCAAAAGGGAAGTGATTTTTCTAACATTGTTCATTTCAAGAATTGATCTAACTTCTAAATTAGTAGTATTGCTAAGTTTCTTTATAATATTTTCCGAAATAATGTAATTTATAATACATTTTATTAAGGTATAATTTCTATATAATAAATTATATTAATACCTATTTTAAGATTCAGTAAGTGTCAGTAATACCTATTTTAAGGTCAATAAATTTTTATAAGTGTGTAAACCTGTGGGGCCACCACTGCAATCAACACGTGCAACATTTCCTTCACTACAGAAAGTTCTCTTGTGCCCTTTTGAAGTCAATCTTACCCACCGTCTTCTGTCCACAAGCAATTACTAATTGGCTCTCTGTCACTATTGATTATTTTCACTTGTTCTAGAATTTCATATACATGGACTCACACAGTATGTACTTTTTCTTTAGTACCTGGTTTTTTTGACTCAGCATAATATGTTTTAGATTTATCATGTTGTATTTATCAGTAGTTCATTCCTTTTCATTGCTAAGTAGTATGGATATACCACAATTTTTTAACCCATGTGTTGATGGATATCTGGGTTGTTTATAATTTGGACCTGCTGTGAATAATGCCATAATGAAAACTCATGTATAAGACTGTGTGTGGACATACATTTGCGTTTGTCATGGATAAATACTTGGGAGTGGAAGTGTTAAGTCATATGTTAATTCTTTAACTTTATAAGAAACTGCCAACCCATTTTTTAACCCACTATAAACAGTTATTTCTTACCATTTGTTTTGCAGACACTTTATAAAACCCAGGTAAAAGAACTTAAAGAAGAAATTGAAGAAAAAAACAGAGAAAATTTAAAGAAAATACAGGAACTGCAAAATGAAAAGTATGTCCATTTTACTTTAGAACAAGAATCAATACAACAGGCATTCTTAAGTTTAAAATAGTGAGTAGGCGTGCCATTTTTCTGGTGGGAATGGTATAGCACAGTTTATTGGGCTAATTCGGAACAAATCAGAATAGGCTGAAATTTATCTTTATGGTGAAGAAACAATGCAATAAATCAATACTAGCGGTGGCACAGAGATTCATTAAACTGTGACAAAAAATTGTTTGACAATTAATTGTTTTCAAGGGTCTTTCCTCAATTTGTATGTAAATAATTTATATATAAGTAAGTTGTGTTGTATTCACAGATCATTATTTTTAAGTTAGATAAAGGTATATAAGGTCTTCCTCTTAGTATTATCATGCTGGTTAATTTTCATCAAATGTGTTTAGGACCTTTGAAGGAGAAAACCTTATAAAGCTATTTAAATTTAACAACCTCATTTTAGAATTGAGCTGCCAGGCCCACAAAGATTGATACAGCTGGGCTAGATAGTGTTAGAACAGACACTGGAATTAGTTTTCTGACATTGTTGTATGCTCTTTACATTTTACCACTTTTGAAGGAAATTCTAAAATTTTAACTATTGATGCAAATACAGAAAATAGCAAAACAAATACAGTTTTATGAACTATATAACAACTATCATTATAACCACTGCCCGTGAACAAGAAAGAACCTTGCTTTGCATTTCAGAAGCCCACTTTATCCCACTTCCTAATAATGCCTTCATTCCTCCCCACCATAAGAGTAATCACTATCCTGACATTTATTTGTTGAAGAAACTAGATCTTTTGTCCTATAGAGGTTCCCTCAGGTGTGATTTTGCTGATCTCATTTCCATAGTTAGTTGAACATTTCCCCCTTCTTGTTTCCTGCAGATCAGTAGTTAAATTGAGAGTTGCTCTGTTCAATATGCTAGACACTGGTCTCATGTAGTCATTTAAATGTAAATTTAAATTAATTTACATAAAATTAATACTTTAATTCCTCAGATGCACTAGCCATATTTCAGGTGCTCAATAGTCACATGTGGTTAGTGTCTAGCATATTGGATAGCACAGATACAGAATATTTCTATCATCGTAGAAAGTTTTATTGGACATTCCTGATCTAGTGGCTTAATCAAATTCAAATCTCATTTGTAGTAGGGAAAAACTACTTCATGTATAATCTTGTAATGTCTGGTTGCTTCTTTGAGTTGTTAACAACCATTAACACTCAATGTTAGATCCTTAATACAGAAGGTGTTGCAAAATGGAGATGTTTCACTTTTATTGTTCTTTCTTCACTTTTTGTTGGAAAATATAACTTTTATTTTAAATTTTTTTTATTTTAAGAGACAGGGTTTCATTCTGTCACTCAGGCTGGAGTGCAGTAGTGCAATCACAGCTCTCTACAGCCTTGAATTCACAAAGCACAAGTGATCGTTTCAGCTCAGCCTCCTAGAACTCCAGGCACATGGCACCACACCCGGCTAATTTTTAGTTTTTGTAGAGACAGGGTCTGGCAGTGGTGCCCAGGCTGGTCTTGAACTCCTGACCTCAAGCAATCCACCCACCTCGGCCTCCCAAAGTTCTGGGATTATAGGCATGAGCCACTGTGCCCAGCCTTAAATTCATTTTAAACAGTTTTGTAAGTAAATTTAGGTTAGACTTTTCACTGTTTAACAATGTTGACTTGATTAAAAATTAAGTATCATAATACCTTGGTATTAATTGTATTTCTTTTGGGATTAAGTTGCCTTGATCGCATTGATTAAGTTGATAAAAGTATTTAAGAAACACCTGGGAGGCCAGGCATGGTGGCTCATGCGTATAATCCTACCACTCTGGGAGGCTGAGGCGGGAGGATCGCTTGAGGTCGGGAGTTCAAGGCCAGCCTAAGCAAGAGCCAGACCCTGTCTCTACTAAAAAGAGAAAAAATTAGCCCAGCAACCAAAAATAGAAACAACAACTTAACTGGGCGTGGTGATGAGCGCCTGTAGTCCCAGGTGGCTGAAGCAGGAGGATTGCTTGAGCCCAGGAGGTTGAGGTTGCTGTGAGGTAGGCTGATGCCAAGGCAGTCTGGCCTAGGCAACAGAGCAAGACCCTGTCTCAAAAAAAGAAAGAAAAAAAAAAAAAGAAACACCTGAGTGCAGTGGCTTGCACCTCTAATCCCAGCACTTTTGGAGGCTGAGGTGGGAGGATTGCTTGATCCCAGGAGTTAGAGACCAGCCTGGGCAGCATAGTGAGACCCCATCTCAGAAAAAACCAAACAAGCAAAAAGAAAATATTTAAGGCACAAAACTGACAATAATTTATTTTGGAGCTGTATAGTACCATAAATTTTAGCATCACAACAGGTATCAACATATTAATTTGGTGACCAAGTTTCAGAGCTAGATAACATACTTAATTGGAGTCTAAAGTAGACACAAAGCTACCTTTCCTGGTTATTCTCTGTGACAGTAATCATAGTCTGTTGCCTACCATTTGTGTAGTATTCATAGTGTAATATGCAATCCCAGGTTTGTGCAATTCACTGTGAGGAGGCACCCAATCTACTCCATACTATATTGTTGTAAAATGTTGACCCAAAACTGTTTGAAGTGTGTGTGTATATCTGGCAGGAGGTGAGGGGGACACTTTTGTGGACTCATTTGATCTTCCCCGGCAGCAATTGTAACCCCTACTATAGGATCAGGAGACACAAGGGCTGAAGAAAGACTACTAGCTTGTATACTTTTAAGGAATGGGAACAGAAAGGGAAAGTAAGAAGTCACCAGTAATAAAAGAGAAAATCAGAGTAGGGTATCACAAAAGCTACAAGCTACAAGAGTAGAATATTTTAGGAAAGAAAGTGATTTAAAGTACCAAATATTCAGAAAGGTCAAGTAAAAAATAAGTTGCCCATCATATTTATATTTAAGGTCGTTCATTATCTTCGTGAGAATAGTTCCTAAGTAGAGATGAGAATACTAGATTAATGTGGATTGAGACACGAATGAGAAGGGTGGAACTAGAGACAGAGTATATCCAACAGCCTCACTGGTGTTCTTACAATTCAGCAAACCATTCACATACTTTCATGCCTCAAGGCGTTTGGACTTGGTCTTCCCTCTGCCTGGAATATTTTCCTCTAAATAGCTACATGGCTTGCTCCTTCACCCTCTGTAGGTCTAGGTCTAAACATCATCTTAGAGAAGCTGTCCCTGAATACCCTTTGTAAAATCGCAAACATCCTCACTCCACCCCACTATCTTGCTGCCCAGTTCATATATCCTTCCTTGTTTTATTTTTATTTATCTCTTCCTAATATATTACAGAATTTGCTTACTTGTTTTATTTATTGTTTTTGTCTTTCCACTAGAACTTAAGCTTTATGGCAAAAGGAATTTTCAAATGTTTTGTTCTTGGCTCTAATTCATTTCTACACACTTGGTACCTAGAATTGTACCTTCAACATTATGTTGCTCAGCAAATATTTGTTAAATTTAAAAATTCGAAAGATTTGGCTGTTATGGCAAGGAGTTATAATGGTAGCTGGAAGAGAATGTGAAGGAAAGCCTTTTATTTTTAATGATAGCATAAATTTGAGCATATTTAAATGGGGCATGAGAAGAAAATCGAAATGGAAAGAGTTGCACATCTGTTCATTCATTCAAATAAATAGAATTTCTGCGCACTTTCTATGAGCCAGAAAATTTTAGCAGTGAACAAGAACAAAACCACAGTTTATGATCTTATAATCCATAAGAATATGGAATTATTACTAATTTTAATTCTTTGATGAGATTGGAGAATAAAGGTGAGAGATTGGCCTTAAATATTAGTAAAGACAAGTCTTTCATAGTGGAGAGTTGTGAAGGAAGTTTGGAAGAATGTAGACACAGATAATTTTACCCTGATCCTTCTCATTCTCTCTTGCTTTCTCTTGCACAGTTGCATAAGTAGGGATAGAAATGTATTGTGGGATAAAAAGGTTTTCTGGTATTTTAAAGTATAACTTAGATACTTTTATCTGAATTTGATGAAAAGCAGTAACCCCAGACAAGAGCAATGTCATGATCTGAAGCCCTGTGTTATAATAGCTAGCAGAACCACTCCTAGTATTCATAGACTTCACGGTGGTGGTATTGCCTATCTTTTCCTACTGCACTAACTACTCTGCCCTTCTAAGAAACTATTTCACATCTCTCTACTCAAATCTCTGCCTTTCCCTCCTTCTCATACACATAATGGCCTTGTCTCCTAGAAGTCAGAAAAGAACATCTGTTCTCTCCCACCACCATAGCTACTAGCCTATCTGCATCTGTACCTGTACACCCTACCTTCCTTCTGATGATACAAGTGAACAAAATGTGCTCTTGTCTAATGCTAGCCCCTTTATCCCGTCCCTTTTTGTCTACTTAAGAATATGACTCCAGCAATTCTCTCATTTTTCTTAAATCATTTTTCCCTTTCTATAGTCATTCTCATTGTTATGTAAACAGACAGTTAGATATCTCCTTAAAAAATAACCCTCTTTTAACTACATTATCCACTTCCAGCCACTATCCTATTTTTCTCCTTTTTGTACTTGAAAAGTGACATACCCGATATCTTGTGTCCTCTTTTCCCATTCTCTCTTGAGCTTACTCCAGTCGGACTTTTGCATTCATCACTCTAACAAAACAACTCTTCTCAACGTCGCTGTGGTCTTCCTGATAGTTAAAGACAATAGAAAGTTTTAAGTCTTCACCTTATTTAATAGCAGCATTTAACATAGTTGATTATTCTCTTGACAGAATTTCTTCACTTGGCTTCTGTGACACCGCACACTATTTTTCTTTTATTGAATTGGCTACTCTCGCTCAAGCTCCTTTGCTCCTTTGTCCCTTCTCATTTCTGAGACCATTAGAGTTTGGAGGGCCCAAGGGATTACTCCCTCCTTGTTCTCATCCAGACCCTGGCTTTAAATAGCATCAGAGTACAAGTACGTACTCCCTTGAATTCCAGTCTTGGATATCCAGCTGTCTATTTAACATTTCTGCTTGAGTATTTAATAAGCATCCCAAATTTAACAAGTCTGCAAAAAGTCCTGATTCCCTCACTTTGCCAGCCTGCTCTTCCCTATCTTCCCCATTTCAGTAGCTGGAAATTCTATTAGAGTCATCTTAGACTCTTCTTTAAAAAAAAAGCAACTTTACATGCAATCTATCCACAAATTTTCCCAGCTCTAACTAAAAATTATATGTAGAATCTGATCACTTCTCACCACTTGTACCATTTACTGACCTGGTCCAAACTGCCATCCTCTCCAATCTTTGTCATTTCAGTAGCCTCCTAAGGTGTCCCTGCTTCTGCCAGTGTCCGCCTACTGTCCGATCATAGTACAGCAGCCAGAATGATCTTTTTAAAACATCAGAGTACCAGAGTAAAAGCCAGAGCCCTGTATTGTCTTGGAAAGCCTTACAATGTCTGTTGCTCTCTCTCCTCACTTTTCTTAAAACATATCTCACAACTTTCCCCCATCTCTCACTATATTCACATTAGCTTTATTCAGAATGTCCTTGGGCATTTTTTATTTGATGTTCCCTCTGCCTGAAAGACTATATTCCCAGATACCTGCATGGCTCACCTCTTTCATATCTCTTCTCTAATGTCCTCTTAGCAGAGAGGCCTCCTTGACCACCCTGTAATAAAATAGTGACCATATTTATGGCTTTTTCCACCTTTCATCTTTTATTATTCTCCGTGGCATGCTCTATATTACTTGTTCACTTTTTAAATTGTCTATATGGCCCAGCTAATACATGCTCCCTGAGAGCAGGAACTTTGTTACTGTTTTACGAGGGCCACTCGGAAAATATCCAGCCATTGTTAATATAACAAGAACGGTAGCATAGCTGGATACTTTCCAGACAGCCCTCCTATTCCTTAATTCCCAGAACAGTGTTTGGCACATAGTAAACATTCAAATAAATAGTTGTTGCATAAATGAGTGAATATTCTTTTCTTGTGGTAACTATATGTCTCCCTCTTTAGGCTTGAGGAAGAAAATTTTATTCATAATACTCCCTTACTAGAAAATAGAAGATGGAAGTTACTCGTAACACATTTGTTGAGCACGTACTGTCTACAGGGGATACAATGGTGACAGTTGGATAAGATAGCTTATCCAAAAGAGGCTTTATGGGAAGAACAGGCAAACTGGAGTGATCTTGTTCTGGTCTGAATGTCAATGCTGAGAAGTTTTAAAGTGCAGTTTCCAAGGAGCATTCCTAGAATAGTTTATAGTGGTTTGCAAATCTCTTTATAAGTTTCATCATCTCATTGAATTTCAGAGGTCCCTTCTAGGGACCTCACAGATAATTTAGTTTAACCCTCTCATTTTACAGATTTGATTAAATCGGGAACTTGCCCAGTGTACCTACCCAATTAGCTAATGATAGAACAGAGATAAAGGTCCAGCCTCAGCCTCCTGATTTACCAGCCAGTGACTTTTACACTGTGCCATGCTGCCTTCCATTCCAAATCCACAGCAAATTCATTTCAGAAATAGACTGTTTGCTATTGCTTTATTACCTTTTCTAAGTTAAGCACAATAGCATATAGAAGATTAAATAGTTCTTTACATTTATATAATTTTTCAAAATGTGAGAGGTTAAATTCATTGCTTTTATAGAAAGTTGGTAGTGGATTCAAAGTTTATTTTAAGCAATAAAATACTTAGTTCTTTTGATCATGTAAAGACAATTGTGTTTCTAAGTATATGATTAATTTGAAAGAATGAAGTGAAATTGTTTATATCCATTTCTTTTAAAAATCTATTGCAGAGAAACTCTTGCAACTCAGTTGGATCTCGCAGAAACAAAAGCCGAGTCTGAGCAGTTGGCTCGAGGGCTTCTGGAAGAACAGTATTTTGAATTGACCCAAGAAAGCAAGAAAGCTGCTTCAAGAAATAGACAAGAGATTACAGATAAAGATCACGCTGTTAGTCGGGTAAGTGTGATGGTCAGGTAAGTTATATAACTAAAATTGGTTTAAATTGAAATAAATCACATCTTAATGTATTAGGGTGTTTGGTGCCATGTTTATTTATTTCTACTTTATACATAGTGGTCATTCTATATTCATGTATAAAATAGTTTATATAATCCAAAACAATTTTTAATGATTAAAATTCTTATTCAATACATTGAGCTTTTTTCCTTTCTGGCTGTAAATCTTATTAGTTATATTAATATTTCATGTGAAGAAATACATGGCTTAAATTCGTTTATTCTCTTAATACATTGAAATGGATTTTATGGGCCAGAATTCTGTGAAATTCAGAGGAACTATTTTGGGATGAGAAATTCTTTGGATAGTCTACAAATCCATTATAAGAAAACCAATACTCCAAATAATTACCCATTCTGAGGTTTGTACTGTAGTCTATATGGAATCATGGGGATAAAAAGGGGAGTTACAGAGATTTTTTCTTTTGAAGCTACTATCAAGTGCTCTCATATAGGCAGGCTTGGGTTCAAATGCTAGCGTTGCCCCTAAGAAGTTACATAGTCTTGGCAAAAGTTCCTTCAACTTTTCTAAGCCTCAGATTTCTCATCTAATAGAAAGACTGGGCCGGGCACGGGTGGCTCACGCCTGTAATCCTGGCACTCTGGGAGGCCGAGGCAGGCGGATTGTTTGAGCTCAGGAGTTCGAAACCAGCCTGAGCAAGAGCGAGACCCCGTCTCTACTAAAAATAGAAAGAAATTAGCTGGACAACTAAAAATATATATAGAAAAAATTAGCCAGGCATGGTGGCACATGCTTGTAGTCCCAGCTACTCAGGAGGCTGAGGCACTAGGATCGCTTCAGCCCAGGAGTTTGAGGTTGCTGTGAGCTAGGCTGACACCACGGCACTCTAGCCTGGGCAACAGAGGACTCTGTCTCAATAAAAAAAAAAAAAAAGAAAGAAAAGAAAGACTGGGCGCAGTGATTCGCGCCTGTAATCCTAGCACTCTCGGAGGCTGAGGTGGGAGGATCGCTTGAGCTCAGGAGTTCAAGACCAGCCTGAGCAAGAGCAAGACCCCATCTCTGATAAAAATAGAAAGAAATTAGCAGTGCAACTAAAAATTAAAAAAATAAAAAAAAAATAACCCAGGCATGGTGGCGCATGCCTGTAGTCCCAGCTACTTTAGGAGGCTGAGACAGGATTGCTTGAGCCCAGGAGGTTAAGGTTGCTGTGAGCTAAGTGACACCGCAGCATTCTAGCCCAGGCAACAGAGTGAGATTCTGACTCACAAAAAAAATAAAAATTAAAATTAAAAATAATATATTTATAAAATAGAAATAATAATATCTATTCCACATGATTGTTATGAGAATTAAATGAAATAATATAGATAGAATGATTAATAAATACATTGCTAAAAGTAATTGATCAATAAATATCTTATTGTCATTTGCATCATCATTGCTCAGATGAAGAAACTGAGACCAGAAAGATTGACTCGCTTGAATCATATAGTAGGTTAATTGCAGATCTAGAACTAAATAAAAATTTCATAGTTTCCAGTCTAGTTATTTTTCCCCTTTCGTTCATACATATCACATGTATATGTGCATATACTGAAAAAGTTTTTAGAAGCTATTATTTTTAAAATATTTTGGACTTAATTGTATCCATATATCTTAAACTGGAAACCAGGCATTTTCTGTAGTTCAGCAATCAATGTCTTGCCTGTCTTCATCTATGGAAAATGTGAAGTATTATTTTAAAGATTATTGCTTTAAATATAAGGATAGCAAAAAGGCTGTAGCTTAAACCTTTGTGTGCTTTGTTTAGCTTGAAGAAACGAATAGCATGCTAAGCAAAGATGTTGAATTATTAACAAAAGAAAATGAAGAGCTAACTGAGAAAATGAGGAAGGCAGAGGAAGGTATGTGGGTTTTTAAAAATTCAATGTTAAAACAAATTTGGTGATTTTAAGCAATTTATGTTGTATGTTAGGTTTTTGAAATACCTATTTTCATGTGTTAAATAACTTCTGTAGCTTTAAGAATTATCTTAATGAGGTTACTAAAAATTACTATGTAGTATACACTAATTTAAATAATAAAGGACATTGTTATTTTGGAATGCAGAAATTGGGACCCGTGACCTTAAGGCCACGTGTGGCCCTCCAGATCCCCAAGTGTGGCCCCCTCGACTGAATCCAAACTTCGAGGATTTGTTCTGTAAAATTTGGATTCAGTCAAAAGGCTGCACTCAAGGATCCAGAAGGCTACATGTGGCCCCAAGGCCGCAGGTTCCCCACCCCTGAGCCATAAAATAACATTTTATGTAATTCGTTGACAGAATATAAATTGAAGAAGGAAGAGGAGATCAGTATTCTTAAGGCTGCCTTTGAAAAGAATATCAGTACTGAACGAACCCTTAAAACACAGGTATACATGCTTTCAGCCTTTTCCACGTTTTTGTACTTGAGTATCATATATTCAAAAAGTTAATAATTGTTCTTTGTGCACATTTTCCTAAAACCAAGATTTATAGGTTCAAGCTTGTTATTAGAACAAATGTAAATTCTTTCCCTGTTAACTATAGAAAATGTGAAACAGAATTTCAATTAAGAAAGCTAACTTGTCTGGTAATATTGTACAGTTGTACAAGATAAAGGCAGGGGGCCAAGGCATAGAAACCTTATTTGCTAGTACTAGAACCTAACATCAGAGTGGGACTAACATACTCCTGATTTGGTACTGGGTTGCAGTGTTAACCAAATAGAGGCTCCTGGGTCTTGTATTTGAATTGTAAGATAAGTTAGTGTTAGTTATTTGTGCTACCAGTTATCATATCCCAGCCTTCATTAGGTTGTCCTAATTTTCACATACACAAAAGTCCTGCTTCCCGATTTTGAAGGAAAAAATACATTTTTAATAGAGATTTAAATTGGATGACCACCATGTAGATCCTTATTAATAATATGTTAATATTTGAATAGGCTGTTAACAAGCTGGCAGAAATAATGAACCGAAAAGATTTTAAAATTGATAGAAAGAAAGCTAATACACAAGATTTGAGAAAGAAAGAAAAGGAAAATCGAAAGCTACAACTGGAACTCAACCAAGAAAGAGAAAAATTCAACCAGATGGTAGTGAAACATCAGAAGGAACTGAATGACATGCAAGCGGTAAGATTTGTGTGTGTGCATGTGGGATTATTTTCTTAAATTGTTATTACTGTATATGCCTGTTATCTGTCTTATTTAGATTGCATTTTCTTGTATAAAAATGTGTATTTTAGTTTATACTTTTCACAGTTTGGTCATTATTACTCTAATATGAACCATGATCTTGTAAAACTGAAAAGATGTTCTATTACCTGTTATATCTTGAGTAATTTTTACCCATTAGCAGCTGCTTGATCAGAGGACCTATTTTGACAGAGACAACCAAGGTTTTGCCTCTTTGGTTTCAGACTGAAATTGGGATATGGCTGTTATAATATTGATTATAATTGGGGTAGAGGTTTTGAAGTATTCTATATTATTTTTTCTAGTCAAGATTCACTTTTCTGAAATCAAAATCTCAAGCCTGATTTTTCGATACTTCCTGGTTTATTAATAGCACAAAATTGAGAGCCTGGTGTCTGGTGTTAAACAGACTTAGATCCAAGCTTTGACTCCATCATTTATGGTTTTACCATCCTGAGAAGTTTTCTATACCTTTTAAACTATTTCATTTGAAGAAAGAAAAGCATTTTTCCATTGCTTTAACTTGTTTTTTTTTTTTTGATGCCTTAAGTTTAAAAACAAAAACTCTTTTAAAGCAAGGAGAAAAGGAGCTTATCTAAGCAATGTATTACTGAGAAAAAAATTACATTTCTATAGTGTATCAAAATCTGTGGTGGTCAACATTCACCAAGTTTGCAGTAAATTTTTAGTATTAGCAATTTAGATTACTTATTTATATTTCAGTTAATGCTTAATGTTGGAAAATATTTGAGCTTGATTATTTATATTACCTTGATATTTTTCAAAAATAGCAATTGGTAGAAGAATGTACACATAGGAATGAGCTTCAAATGCAGTTGGCTAGCAAAGAGAGCGATATTGAGCAATTGCGTGCTAAACTTTTGGACCTTTCGGATTCTACAAGTGTTGCTAGTTTTCCTAGTGCTGATGAAACTGATGGAAACCTTCCAGGTAAGAATAATTATGTCTTTCAAATTTGTTTAAAATGTCATAAAAATCAGTGTATATTTCTTTCATTTGATTTTCTGTCATTTTGTCCATGGATTTTTAAGAAGTAATTCTTGTTTCTGATAGCCAAGGCCTGATGATGATTGTATACTTAGTGCATTTTATAGAATAAAAGCAGTATTACAAGCAATCTTAGGCTATTAAAATAGACCTGAGAGGCTCTACCTGAATAGGAACCTAAAGAGGTTTGTTAATTTATTTTGAGCAACCTAACTCCATGGTGAAAGTTGAAGCTGCTATTACACCTCTCACTATTTAAAGAAAATTGTGTTTTTGAGAGTAGCAGCTGTTTAAAGTTTTATGTATTATTGTGCTGAAACTAAGAACTGTACTTCATAATCAGAACCACAGCAGCTATGTGCAGAAGCCTATCTATTGGAGTAGTGATAAGGTTTAATTGGACGTTATGTTAAGTGTTAAGTTTGGAGAAATAGGTAAAAGGGGTTGGGCAGTGCAGTGAGAGGATGGGGGATCAAAGTGAGTGGCTAGGATTTCAGATATTTTAATATGTCTTCTTTTTCCCAGTAGGGAATCAATTAAAAAATAAACACAGCCTCATTCTTGCCTTAATCATAGTGTCAGCTGTAGTACATTTGTGTTATCATAACAGAGATGAGAAATACATATATAAGTTCAAT